AGATTGCATTTGAATGTTTTGTAGGATCGATGAAAGGAGAGGAAGCTTGATGAAATAGAGCAAGATGAGTCTAATCACGAAAAAATGGATCTCGATCGCATGAATTTGAAGATTAGATTTTGAGCTTAGATAGTTATGATAGAGTTGTTAGAAATTTTCCTTTTGAAATACATAGTTTTCAATGGATTTTGCCTTGTAAGGACAAATGTTTTCTGCTGCTTTTATAAATAAAATAAATTTTCGTTTGACTTATTTATTTGTTTATTTCCTAGCAATGAAATCATTATGAAAATTGGTGTTTGCATATTTCTACAACAAATGGATATGATTCTTATTTATGGTGTTTATGGAAAAGTCGAGAATTTACCAAATAGGGAGAGTTTCTCATCGCCCAAGTTTCAACTGGACAGAAATTTGGAATCATGCAACTTGGTTGCACGAAGAATGAGAAATTTCATATTTGGAAATTAGACTAATTCATTGACAAAGTGTCAAGTGAAGGACTAGGAGATCGAGTACACAAAGTTGTGTGTTGATCAAGTCCACCATAAAAGTAACAAAGATATTCGTCATAATTTACTAAAGGTTTAGTAAATGTGATTATACTTACAAGATTAAGTGTAATTCTAAATTGATTCAAAAAGTTTAAATCAATAGCAAAACGAATAAGAAGAATCAAGTAGGTAGAAAGATAAAAGTTTCTCCATTCTAAGAAGAAGGGAGGGTACCTTTTATGCTTTATGATAGGTCTTAATGATTAAGAACCATATCTCAATTGATCCTCTAAGTGAGTCTTAGTACAATTGTATGTGTAAGAAAAGGAATCAAGAATTGAAGAAATGGTTAAATCAAAAAGTCAATCATACTTCGTTCCAATAACAAGTCTTAAAGTTAAAATTGTGGAAATAAGTGACAAGTATTAAGAAAGTTTTTTTAACATTCATCAAATGTGGAAAGTTGTGATGTCTTGGAGAAGACAAAGACCAACTAGGACCATTTTATGAAGTGTTATGTTTTGATAAAAACTACACTAACTCTTGAATATTTGTTTGTCAAGATATGTTTATTGACAAGAGAATCTTATATGTCAAGGAGTTAGTGGGAGTCTTAATGGTCTTGAAAGGTTTCAAGAACAAATCAAAATAAACCTTATCAATCATTACTAGCACACGAGTTGATGTTTACAACCTATCGTGTTGACATTATATTGGTTATGTGTTGTTCCAGTTAAGTTAATTATGCATGTGACTTCTATGAGTTCTCATTTTGAACGCATAAAAGGCAAGGCACCTTAATCAATGAAAGGTACATTGATAGGAAAGGGTGAGCTGCCTAACTACTTGGAAGACATGATGGGCAGCTGTGCTACCATAAGGAAAGAAATCAAGATTAAGAAAGTTCGTTCCATATGAGTTTGAATTTGTCGTAAACTTTGGTTTTAACAAATTCACATGGATAGGAACACATACACCGTTTAAATCTAAGTGTCATAAGATTTCCTCCTTCATGAAAATGATTGTGAGGAAATGCTTTCACTAAGAAAGATTTTAAAAAGATAGTGATTGTAAAATTGCATTCTCAAATTCGATTTTGGTTACGGTATCCCTTTCCATGATTTGAGTTGTGAGGTTTGGCAATTAGTCTTAATTGTTTAGACACACATATGAACTATCTAAGGCAAAGGTGTATAAGTTCAAGAAGCTTTGATAAAAGATTATCAAAGCACTAAGTATTAGAAACATGGACTTAAGAAATTCAATAGGTATTGTTTTTCTGACAGTTAAGATGTTTATGAATACATGTCGAAGCTAGTGGGAGCATAAGTGTTATGTTTTATAATAATCATCATGATAGTGGGAGCATAAATGTTATGATTGTATTATTATTAAGGACAGTATTGCAAGTTGGCAATATTACTTATAGAAAACAAGAGTCATTCTTTGCAAAGTTGTAAGGATGGAATAGTTGTTTTGCTATAATTAAGGGATAGAATATTATGCTTCATTTTAAATCTAAAGGCTTAGGTTGTGGAATATTAATAAATTTAGTCAAAAGTACATAGTGTGTTCTTAAAAGTTCGATTATGATTACGGCATTCCTTTTCACAACTCGAATTTTGAGAACATAGCAAATAAAACATTATGGCAAAAGATTGATAAAGTATCAAATCTTTATGTAAGACATTTTGCATCGTGTCCCATACGCTTCGAGTAAAGGATCGATTGCAAATGCTATAATATTTGACCATTCTAAAATTTTCCAAATGTTTATCGCATTTAGAGGGAAAAAGGACTAGAATCGGTTTTTGACCAAAATAATTAAACAACTATCAAAGGACAATCCAAAGTTCGCTGAGGATTGATCGCTTGTGAGTAGTTGGAAGTATAGTATTGGAAAATATGGAAATGTTTCCATATTAGATGGAACATATCGACATTATTATGAATATATAAGATTCTATTAAGAATGAGTTGTCATATGGAAAATATGGAATCGTGTCCATATTGGGAATTGAATATTGAAAATATATGTCTAGATTAGAAACTTTTACGCAAAAGGATGTTCAAAGAAATGTACTTTGAGTGAGAGACATCATATCTAAGGAATTGTATTTTAACAATCTCCGATAGAGGACTTTGTAATATCGTTGGCAATAGTCTTTGTGACCTTTTGTGCTATGACATTACGAAAAGGATCATTGCATTAAATGTTAGAATCTAACATATTCTATAAGTGGCTAGAATTTGATATTCTTTTTCTTATGAAAAAGGATTTGGAGTTGTGAAATGAGTATGATTGGAAATGTATTCATATGATCTATTTCACAAAGTAAGAACCATATGTAAACATTGTGTGCATGCTAGGAGCATGGGACAAGTGTAGTAATAATTCAAGTAAGAAGTTGATTACCCGAAACGACAAATAATGAGTAATTGATATGGTGATAAATAAAAGGTGTTTTATTTATACTCAAAGGTTTGAGGCCATATGGGATTAGTATTATTCTTGTGTTTCACTTTGCATGTTTTGACTTCTTGAATAATTTAATTGGTTGAGAACAGTCAAATTATTCGAACGAGCCACAGTCGTTCATATGTTGGAAGTAGATATGAAATGAAGACTGTCGTGAATTGGTGTGTGGATTGTCTAAAAGGGTATTAGACATAAGCAAATGTTTGCTGCAATGTTCATGAGTGCTTATGAATAAGATTTGAGCATTGGATTAAACCTACGCTCACTTGGATCACTCCATGAATTGTATCATGAGTGATTGGTGAGATGATAACATCTTATATTCTTGAAACCGAGATGTGTGAGTTGTATCTTGCAAATCGGTTGCACATTGATAATATGTAAACGCACCAGTAACTTGGTGTCATAAAACATATTGTTGTGTGTGATTCGGTGAGTGAGTACAAGCGAGCATTGAATCAAAGTTTATCCGTTCCTTTTATCTGAAGTAGGATAAAAGCGATATCTTTGGGCCCCTCGATGATTTAGTGATGACAAACGTAAATGCTCGGCCGGGCTATGGCTAATTTGATTTGTCCAATTAGTCAGTCGTCATAAATCGGAAGTTGAGAAATAGTACATAAATAATGATTTGAAATCATATCTCATACGATATCTAGAATGGAGGAATATATGATCCCTTATCTAAAGGACATGCATATCTGATAGGATCAGAGTTGACAGCGGCTTTGGAAAGCTACGATTACGGATCAAGATCTGAAGTCATACGCATAATAGTTATTAGACTTATCCAAGTGGGAGACTGTTGGATTAGTGTCTAAGTCCATAACTATTTTGGTATGTACTTGACTCGATGATGCATGGTCCTTTTGGGTTGCCTTCACCAAAGCAACTTGATAGGATGAATTATGGAGAGAAAGGATTAAATATGATTTATTAATATATTATGAGAATAATATATTAAAGGAGAAATCATATTGTTTAAATTAATATTAGTCAAGAATTAATTGGTAATTAGTTTTGTGACTAAAAGAGATTAATTAAACTTAAGGGACTGGAATTGTAATTATAAGATAATTACAATTTGGGCTATGGATTGCCTTATATTAAGGAGTGGACGAATTCTATGGGAAAGCCCATGAGGAAACCGTCCAAGGCCTTAAGGAAAGGAATCTATGGCTTGCTTAGGGCTTAAGCATCCAATTTAGATTTTCCTTGTTAGATAACCCTAATAGCCTAACTATATATACATCCCTTATGACCCAAAAATGTGGCTAAGCATCCTTCTAGAGTTTCACACGTTTTAGGGCAACCTCCTTCCTCTCTCATCTTCATCCTCTTGCTCTTAGTGTTTGTGAACCATTAGAGGAGTGACATTTGTGACTCTAAGCTTTCTAAAGTCATTACAAGGAGGAATTGTGATTGTTATTGCTGCATAACAATCAAGGTAATATCTTAAACCCATTCTTATGTTAATATGATTACTTGTATGCTAAAATTAAGGTTTATAGTCTTGGATAACTTGCATGTACAATAGAGAAACCTAGATCCAAGCATTAGGGTTTGTATGAGCACATAGGATGTTCTTATGACCACAACCCATCACACACACCCACCCTTGTGGTGGCCGGCGGTGGCACATGGTGGAAGCTACCACCTCACGGTGGTGGTGGTGACCCACTTGTGATTTCCGACCAACTAGCCACACACCTTGACTGAAACACACCTACACACTCTCTTCTATTTGTGAAATAGACCCAGCTACCCACCTGGTGGTGTACGGTGATAGTGATGACACAAGGAGGCGGGTAGCAGCGGAGTTGATGGCGGCAGCCACCATGGTTGGCCACCATGGTGGTTTTTCACGGAGTGCTTCTGGCCAAACGAGCTTCCATTATCGAACAACAACCACAACACACCCAAATGCTTGTGACACACGGCCGAAGCACACACACAGCCTCCCTCCAGGTGGCGGATATTGACTGGATCAGAAGGAGGATTGCACAGGCGGCGGTGGAATTGCTAGGATGTGGCATCGGCGAACCACGATGAAACGGAAGAAGAAGGGTGAACGATTCCCACCGAAAATAGCAGCAAAGGCAGAAAAGGCATCGCTCGATCTCATTTACGGTAACAGAACAATCCACGTCGGCGATTTGTTGATGGCTCACCACAACGACCAAGAAGTCAACTGGAAATGGCACTCGTGGCATCCAGCATCGGTGTTCACAGCTCCAAGACAGTCTTTGGCAGTTCTCTTTCGACAGCTCATGACGTCTGGAAGCAAGGTTGTAGTGGTGGTGCTCGAACTCGACAAAGCGACAACGGCAGGTGATGGGGATACAAGGTTGGTTGCGCCGGAGGTGGTCAATTGGGGGGGGGGGGGTGGCGGCCGAATATGGTATTAAGGTTAGGGTTATGGAGGGTTGAGATTTGTATACCCGACTCATTCAAATTTTTTCCATAATGGCAGGAATGGTCCTTCTCCATAAAATCTTTTCAAACTAATGCCCATAATTTACTCTTCATACCCCTGCTCCTACAATTCTTTTCATATTAAGTCCAATCATTACCAAACACCCCTCCATGACAATTTCTTTTCAACTTAGGTACATAATTTATCCTTTAAGCCCCATCCATTCAAAATCCTTTCATAACAAGTCCAATATTTTACTAAACACCTACTGAATTCTTAAAACCTTTACAATGTAAATCCCAAAATTGCACTTTAACCCTCGGAAATCAAAATTATATCAGTTGGCTCCCCGAAACCGACAACCCACTAAATATTATTGATTTTAGGGCCATTATAAAATAATATAAATCATAAATTTACACTTTAGGGCTCTGGGTTTATTATTTAATTATTCTATTTTAAATGGGATGTTACAACTCTCCCCACCTTAAATTTGATTTCATCCTTGAAATCATTTCTTATCATTCCTTACACGCCAGACAACTTGAAGTACATGGCCACAATCTAGAGCATAACCACAGCCTTTCCAAGGCAACTGTAACCAAACCTCGCAGGGTTCTAAAATCTGAAAATGGGCAAATTCCACACATTAGAATCACATTACTCAATTTGAAATCTGAAGTCTCGATATGGTCTGGCTCCCTGACATACCGCTCAAACCAATTCAATTTTTTTGAACCCAGTCTGCTTATCTCCCATCTAACTATTCAACTTATGATAATTGGGGGTTCCAACATCCAGAGAGTTCACATACACCTGAAAACCCAATTCATCAGTACCACCCTAAACACAGAAACTGTCTGAAAAAGTAGGTTGCCTTCTTGATGCTTCTGAACTCCACTTGAGACCTCCCTGGTCCCATCCTATCCGGAATACCGAAGTCTTGTCTGGTTTTTGAATCAAGAGTAATCTCACAGTTGCCCCACACGACTACCGAAGGAACTTCGGCTAATAACAACTGCCCTAGCTATATCGCCACTCATGTATCCATCAATCCTTCCAATCCATTTGATCATAACCGTCTCACTAATGTCCTTCAGTCTATCTGGACCACTCTAAGTCTGTTGAGCATAAACCTGGACCCATCTTGGTGCCCTCTCCCATATAGCCAGTTCTCCCCCACTTTGGGATTCAAACTCCAAATCAAATCCGTGGACTATAATCTTGGCCTAACTCTAGACCTCATGTTGATCACCCACCTTCTTGGGGAAACCGTGGTTTGATCCCTAACCCGCATATGTACCACATAAGCTAAATAACCCGCACACCCGTGCTAAATGTACTGTCGAGACCTGGCAGCTAACAAAACTCTCAATGGCTGATGCTCCATTTAAGAATTTCCAATTCTCCCCTACTTGGGACACTAATCACTATCTATTGGTGGCGAAACCAAAACACAACTTAATCATGGAATGAATAACCTCCGCAGAACAACCCTCTAATCACGAAGCAACCAAACTTTAAGATAAACCCGAATCGCAGTGAAACCGACAGTCCCTAATGCTTGAATGATACTACACCCAAATCTTAAAGCCCAAAAGATTAGGTGCTCCAATCGATACCTCAACAACAATCTACTTCCCTTGGCGCTTTCATCCGCCACTCAATAACAGTTACTAAAACCATCGAATCCTGACAATATTAAATAACCATCATGTGGGACCCTGTCCATAGACCTCCCCCATAATATCCCTCTTCTCAATGTGCTCGAAACAAAACTCCCGCTCTTGGGATCTAGAAATCATATCATTCAGGGTCTCGTACCCTGACTCACTCACTAACTCAGTAGTCCACAGTTGAATTGTAGTAGCTGAAGCAACGTTTGCCCTAAACTGGGCTACAAACTACTCCCAAGACATAGCCTCCAATCCCAAAAGTGCAATAGATCACACAATCAATCCTTACCACCCGATGCAATAGATCCAAGGTGAATCGGATCTTAGCTCCTATGGGTAGGGACAGTAGTCGTGTACGCCTCACAAGATACTTATGCCACATCAACTTACCTGCACTCACCGGCGCTGAAATAATGTCGCCAACCCCTGCGACTAACTGACCCCGAGCTGGAATATAACCTGATCCTGGGGTCACAAGGCTGCTCACTCCTTCGAGCTCGAAAAACTGAAAGGGCACAATCCTTGCCCAAGAAAACAACATTCTAATCCATCAATTAACCATTCTACTTCCAGCTGCTAAACCCCAGGTGAACATAATCATCACTTCCTTCCGGAGTCACCGCGACTCGCATTCCGACCTTGAGAAAAACCCCTGAAGCCTCAAATCCAGAAAAATCCTGTGCTAGCCTCTCCCACTCAACCCGCGTAATGTAATGAGTACAGAAAATCTCCCTGATCCCAAGAAATTGCAGCCCTCTACTCATCAGAATATGTCCCAGTAACAAGTCCTAGTACTAGAAAGGTCGACCAGCTCCCCTGTGTCTGTTACAGCTACTGTAGCTTCTTCGGCAGCCGTCTTAGCAATGGTTGCATAACGCTCATCAAAATACTCAACCGTGGCGGTCTTGATAGACCCAAACATGTCCGACAACTATCCCCCGAGAAATCTCAGTCACCTCCTCTCGGATGATCTCACTGACATGATCCTCTGACAATACTGGCCTATCCTGGCTGCTAGTTGCCGATCCTAACCCGGATCTGGTCTCAAGACGTCTTGTAACCCCCATTCTGGTAATACTCCAGAAATATCTCTGATAACCCCTATAGTAACTAACTCCCAACCCAACCCTAGGGGTTGTGACTTCCTTGCTACGCATATGGGTCCTATGCTTTCAGTAGTACGGACCCATACTACCTTCTACACCTACCCATATTTGTCTCAAGTATCACCACAACACCCTAACAATATACATAAACAAAGTGAATTTCCAATCCTCACTCCTAGAGGAATGCTAAATATCTCATAACTGGCCTCCCGGCCTCACACAACCCACCCATGAAACTACCACCAACCTTGTAGCACTCGTGTATACTAGCCATACATAACATTGAACCCTATAGACTTTCAAATACCTAATCCTACCTTAAGCCCTTCATCAAACAAGAATAGGAAATAAGGCCAAACGAAACTCTCAAGCTATAAGATCTTAATTATGTATAGTCGTGATGTATACACTAAGCAAATAAAGTAATGATGTCAATTTCATATAAGGAAAAACCCTAGGCTATCAGGCATCATATAATCAGGCAATTCTCTCATGCAATTCGTGAAGATCCCTAGCCTAGTACTAGCATGTTGTTCGAACATATCACAAAATCAAATAAACTGTAAGGTATTTTGGGGTCTATCCGCGAGCCCCGACGGATCCTAGACTTGCATCCTCCTTTAGTGTTTTGAAAACCATTTAAAAAAAATCATTTTAAAATGTTGTCCTTAGTTTGAGATTGGAGGCACACGAGTGTTTTCTCCAATTCACTCAAACCAAGGCTCCAATACCAACTTCTAACATCCATAAAAATCATGCAAAATTAAACTTTTTAAAACATTTTCAAACCAACGATTATTATAAAGCTTGTTTCCAAAATAGTATAATGTCAAAGTATCCCATAACCAATCATAAAAATTATGAAATTTGAAGAGATGTATGATCACGCATTCGCCTTCCCGCGATCATCAGAAGTACCTGAAACAATAATTGATAAATTTAAGCTCGAAGGCTTAATGAGTTACCCCAAAAATACCAACGCCATACACATATAACCATATCATATAAACATATAAGCAACTGCATGCATAATGAGCCATCAGTCTGACTGGACCGCCTCACAGGCCATCAATCTATCTGGACCGCTCTCCGAGCCTTCGGCACGTCTGGACTGCCTCTCAGGGCCTTCAACCTATCCGGACCGCTCGTCGGGCCTTCGGCCTGACTATATGCCCTCCTGGGTCTATAGTCTATTCGGTCTGCCCTCGGTATCTTGGCCTACAGCACAAAGCAGGACTTGCCTCAACCCAATCCCCCAAAGCAACAAACATATGCCTATATATATATATATATATATATATATATATATATATATATATATATATATATATATATATATATATATATAAACAAATAGTCATGCAGATCTAACAGATCACTAATCATGGCAACCATCCTATAACCAGGATATTGATCTAACCAATCAATAACATAGCAACCATCCTATAACCAGGATACTAATCTGACCGATCTCTAACATGGCAACCATCCTATAACCAGGATACTGATCTAACTGATCACTAGCATAACAAACATCATATAACTAGGATATTGTTCTAACCGATCTCTAACATAGCAACCATCCTATAACCAGGATACATATCATAAAGCATAACATGCAATAAACCCATATACAAATCCGAAAAGGGTCGGCATTGGTGTCGTGGACCCTGTTAGTATAGTGAGGACAACTGACCATGCACTGCTGAAGTCTTGCAGATAAAACTCCAACTGCTGGTTGGCAGATTCCCGAACAATCAACATTAAACAATTCTCAATTAATAATTAGGTTCCAAGTCCAAGGTCCAACTCACACTCCAAAGGCTGAATAGTCAAGTAATGGGCTAAAGCCCAACATATGGCCTAATTTTCCAAATTGGGCCCAACCCTTCACATGGGCTTTACCTTAAGGCCCAATCATTTAATCCAATCCAAACATTTGGCATTTCAATTGATCTAACCTCTCATAATCCTCAAGGCCCAATTATGGCCCATTTATGGCCTAATTTTCCAAATTAGGCCCAAACATTCACATAGGTCTTACCCTAAAGCCCATACAAATATTTTAGTCCATTTACTTGTTCTTGGGAAGCCGATGAAATTAGGGTTGTCACATGAAATGACAATGAGGGTTAAGTGTTCCTACGTAACCCATTAAGGACTTAATCCATTAAGTCCAATATTGCCTTAGGTTAATTACAAATGATTATTAATTAATATTTTAAGTTTAATAAATAATTCTCATGCGGGTCCCAATAAATCCCCAAAATTAGGGTTTTCATGACATTAGGGTTTTCAGCATTCTAACACTCCTATGGTGTACATGCAACCCTATATACCTTAGATCTATATTTTCTCTATTATACATGCAAATATCAATTTTCCAAGGTATCATCCTAACTAGCATATTATGGAGTATTTAGAATATGAAATATAGTTGAATGACATACCATTTGTTGTAGCTTGATTCCTTGGACCATAAAGAGCTTAGTGCCCCAAGTGTTGCACCTCAAATGGTTCACACAACACCACCAACAATTTGAATAACTTGAGAGAAGATTATATTCACTCAAAATTGGCTAGGCCTCATATGTCTATCACTAGGCATATCTTAGTGCCAATTTCATGAGCTATGAGGCTTCTTATATAGTGTGCACATTAGGGTTACACCATGTAACTCATCTCTTTCCATATTCCTCATGATCCATGGGTTTTAACCTCCATGGAGTATCAATGGGTCACCACATGGATTTAGGCCAACATGATGAACTATGGATCTTAAGCCCACTATATAAGAATGAATGATTTACTAAATCAATCCTCATTTATTTAATTAGTTTCTTTTGATCACAAAATTAATTTCAAACCAATTCTTGATCAATACTAGTTAAATAATATGAATTCCTATTAATATATTAGAACTTATAATATATTAATAAATCATAAATATCCTCTTCTCACAAAAGTCTATCCAAATTGTTCTGATGCCATGCAACTCAAATGGATCATACTACTCTCGGGTCAAGTACATACAAATAATAGTTATGGGCTAAGACACCTAATCCAACAATATACACACTCATATATATATATATATATATATATATATATATATATATATATATATATATATAAAGGTGTATTTTAAACTTCTAAAATAGTATTCATAAATTATATTAATGATTTCAAAATTAATATTTTTCATTTAAGTAATCAAATAATTAAATTTAATTAAATCATGATGATAATTCAAAGATTCCAGATATTAGATGTTCAAATTACCAATTAAATATTCAGATTTTATCCAATACTTATACAAAAACACACAATATACCCTCCTGCATCAAACCATAACAAACACAAACAAATATATATAAAATAAATAAACAAAAATATTAAAGGATACAAAAGAATTATAAGTTTGGAACATTAAATCCTTATAATTCAACAAAAAGTAAAGAATCTTTTCTTATTGAGAGTTATTCAAAATTAATAGGATAAATATTCTATTTGAAATACGGGTTGCCTTAAGGTAAGATAGTGTGTTCCTAAATACATATATTCCATAGTAAATGGGCAAAGAGTTTTTCGGATTCTCAGGTCTTGATTAAGAGTTGACAAAGGAATTAAAAAGACCCTTCGATGAGGTATTAAGGTTTTCTAATTTTAATATATAAATACCATTTAGCTCATTTCTTACCCCTCATTTTCGGATTTTCCTTTCTTAATAAAACTCCAAAACAAGTGTTAAAGTGCCACATTTTATTAAAACCGAAAATAACCCTCCTTTATCCTATTTAAATTTAACTAATTTGATATTAATATATTAACATTTATCTGTATATCACATCAATTTTTTATGTATAAATTTTTTTGGTAAAATTAATACAAAAGATACTTATTACATTTGATTTCTTGAAGTATGTTTGTTTTTTTGTCACAGTTTCCAATCACCTCAAACCACCGACAGCCAAATAGTTAATTACTTATCTTTATTCCATAACCATATTACTTTAATCAAACGTGCTAACATACGCCGCCCATCGATTATCCACCCCCGTGAACAGCGCGTACGTTAGTCAGGCGGTCACTCCATTCCAAACGCACGGAAATAGCAGCAGCGGTGGATTCCGGTGACCACAACATGATGGCGACTTAACAAACCACCCAAACATCCACAGTTTTTGGCGCTTGTTGTCTGCAATTTTTCTCACATCCCTGTTTACCCTTCCTTCCAAAATCAGATTCGATTCAAACCAAAGACTAATTAACCATGAAATCGAGAAAACCAAAACCCTAGAAATCGACTAAATAGTCTAATTTTCTGGAAAGCTGACACAAAAACTATGAATTGAAAAAAAAAATAGCAGAAGAAGAAAACGGCAGTTGAATCAGAATATTGTCGCCGTGGGTCACGTGGATTCTATCGTCCTTTTCGGTAAAGTAAAATCGTTTCTCAACTTTTCTTCTGTTCAAAAGGTTGGTAAAGTTTTTTAATTGCTTCTTAAATCTTAATTAATCGCTTCAAATCTTCATTTTTCACGCTAAAATCTCTTCCTAATAATGATTGATACCGGTGGTCGTGGGCGGAGATACGGCCACGTCACCGGAACAAAGCAATCGTAAGGGAAAATCAAATCAGGTGGACCCATGAGCATATTTCGATCGCAGCCTGAAACATACGCCATGAATTTTATAATTCGTTGTTGGATTTTGATGAAATTTTATAAAACATTTTGGAAATTCGATTAGGGTTTGAATTGTGGGCAATGATGATGAATTGACGGATGCTTATTGCGCACTAACTGGAAAGAAGACACCAAAGTGTGCAGGCAAAATCGACACTTCACCTACCATGACCCTCAAATGTCCCCATCTCTGCCTTTTGTTTCTTGTTCTTATGTGTAATTATAACATCTGAACCTTGGATTTATTAACACTGTGTTTGATATAGAGAGGCTAGCTAATAAACTAATTAATTAGTCCATAAATTGGTTTTTTTATTGTTAATCTAATTATAGCTGATAAACTAAATGGTAATTGGCTAAATGAAAAATTATGTTTTTGTTCTAAACTAACTGATAGTCGATAAACTAACTGATTAGTCAAAAAGTTAAATAATAATCGATAACTAACTGACAGTTGATAAACTAATTGATTAGTCAAAAAGGTAAATAATAACCGATAAACTAACTGATAGTTGATAAACTAGTTGATTAGTTGGAAAATTAATTGATAATGATAAACAATAGTGGATAAAGTTAGTTGATAAAATAAATGAGAAAGATATTTGATCTAATCAAAATTTTACAAATGTAGAACAATCTTACTTGGAATCTTTGATTTTTGTAAAATGTTAAGGTGGCATGAGAATTACCGTTGGGTTAAATGTCTCTATCTCTAGGGCTTGCACTTTTGTCTTCCAATCTCATTTTCTTTTATCATCATATAATGTATTTGATTTTGATTCGTGTTCTAAATCTTTCTTGAAGTTATGTCAACCTTTTCGTAAGGAATTTATTCAAAATTAATTTATGTCTTGATTTTGTATATGATTTGATTCTAGCGACCAAACGAGTGTTGTAGCTACTCTCATTAGTTTAATGCCCTTCTAGTTTACATAATTACCATATTTTAGAATGTTTTTTCAAGAGAAAACCACAAATTTAAAAATATTATATAATTTGCTAAAAACCAACATTTTCTTTTTAATTTTTCCCACAATTAATCACTAATCTTGCAATTTCTTAATGTGAATTTTTCCCACAATTAATCACTAATCTTGCAATTTCTTAATGTGAAATTTTCAATTCCGTTGAAATTTGCTTTCTATATTGGTTCTACTAAGAAAAATATTAAAAAGGAAATATTTTTGTTATTGATAATCTTTTATTGAAAGTTTTTTTTTTTAATTATTTTTTAATGTTATTGAGAAATTCACAAATTATTTTCATCCTAAAAATAAGGGTGCTGCTAATAAAATACCCCTTAGACACCCTGAAAAATAAGCTGCGAAAATGAAATATTAATTTTAAATGTATTTCCTGAAAAAAAATACTTAAATAAAATGGACTAATTCCACAGCAAATAATAAATTTTGCTATAGTCATTACTATTTAATACATTAGAAAATTCTAGAAATATTTTGTGACAAATCATATTAAATAATGGCAACTTAATTTTTCTTCACTTGTTTGAATTAAACGTACATATTCTTTAGAAATACAACAAAATCAAACAAGGTGGGTCAAATTATTATGGGACCGTCTACCATAGGTACAGTTCATACTTTAAATCCAAATTTTCATGGAAATGAGCCAACATTTTGGAGCCTACCCATTTATCCATTTTCAATCATACTCCGTGCTACTTGTATGCTTTTTCCCATTCTTTCAAAAGGTGCACTCATCAACTTTCCATTCACAAACTTTTTTCGGAAACATTTATCTTATGCATAAGATAATAATTAATTTTTTGAAAATAAAATAAATATAATTAAATTAAATACTATAAATTATAAAACAAATGAAACAACTATGACTTAGTGAAATTAAAAGTTTCAAGTTTATTAGAAGGGCAAAATGCAGCATAACACAATCATTTATCTATCATAATTTAAAAAAATCATTACATTTTATTTATATGCAGAAAAACACTTATATTTTTATTTATCTTTCAGATTTACTCAAATATATATATTTTTAAGAAGTTATATCTGTTGTTTTTAGTCATGACGTTTATCTTGTTTGTTTTAGGTTGACATGGTAAAAAATAAACAATGTCATTTATTTTTGCTTGAGTAATGGTCGTTGGTTGAGTAAATGATATATTTAGCACGTTTTACATTAGACAAAAGGCAACATCACTTACTTTTATTTTCATATTAACATAAAAATGAAAAAGATAAATATAATGTCACAAAACAACCGTAATTTCTTTAAAAACTTGGTATTTGGGTTAATGTGAAAGGTAACTGACTATATAAGAGTTTTTATGTATATAAAAAAAATATAAATGTTTTTCTGAATGTTAATAGATAAGTGGTTATGCTCTTCTGTATTTTATCCTTATTAAAATGTTAAAATAAGGTTATTAGAAAAAAATTAAGTTTGAGGGACTAAAGTTATCAATTTTAAGAAATTTAGGCTTGATCTATCCTTAACTTGTTTTAGCGCTAACATTTAAAGATTCAACTAGATTTTTTTGGATGACAAATGAGTAATATTAAAGGAAAAAAAAAAAAAAAAAAAAAAAAACTCGACTAGTGGCTAAACGTAAAAGTACAAATATCAAAATACATACAACAACATTAACAACACCAAAAATTAAAAATTAAAAGAAACAAAAAACCAAAAAACTACACCAAGAGCCAGCAACAACAATATACTTTTAAGAAGCAGCTTAACAATAGCATTGTACTTCAAAGGAGAACCAACAAAGGCATTACACTTTTTAACATGGATTGGTAAAGGCAGTGGATTAAGAGGGGCAACCACTTTAACCATAAAAAAAACCTTTCAATAATGAAGATCTAGGATGATACATAACAACTAAACCATAACAACTTCATGGGCAATATTGACCAAATTGGAAACAAGTGAACCTCTCAAACACAAATGAACCTTTATACCATAACAACTTTAGGGAAAAAATAGACTAAACTTATGACAACCACAACCACAAACATTCATAGTTTTATTCTTTAGGGGCAAACAACCAAAAACAATGTTCTATGCAGAGAGACTTTATCACCAACAATATAATTGGAGGAATGTCAACACTTTTAAGACCAATCAAATAGGTACAAGCTCTAATATCACAACATAAGGGGGTAAGATTTGATGTAACGTCCTAAAACTCAGAACCAAAAATTTTTGTTTTCATATTAAATAAACCATCAACCAAACATGTTTATCAAAACCATAAGAAAATGAAAGTATATCCATAATCATCCAAAAGTACAACAGAGTTAATAAAGTGGTAAATCATAATGTGTGCAATGCGATCATCTCGAACTCTTTTCCTTCGGTCCGGAAGTACCTAAAATATAAATTGAAAACCATAAGCACAAAGCTTAGTGAGTCCCCCCCCCCCCCCCCCCAAAATACCGCATACCATACATATATGTCAGTGCAAGGCTGTACCGGGTCTATTTCACCGCCAGGTCTATTTCACCCCTGTATGTATTTCAACTCATATGTCATCTCTAGATTGTATCGGGTTTATTTCACCCCCGCATCTATTTCAGCTCATGTGTCAGTACAAAGGCTGTACCGGGTCTATTTCACCCCTGGGTTTATTTCATCCCACATACATATATCAAACAGGCACACAAGCATATATACTTACAACATGAGTCACAAAGACTACAAGCATAAATAATCCCTAGTGTCCTACAGTATAGTGAGCAAACTCACCTCGATCTACTGCTAAACAAATAGATGCTCGGGCTGCCGAACCAGAGAATCCCCATACTAAACAATCAAATAATACCTAATTAATAATTAGGTCATAAACCATAATCGGGACTTCAATTCACTAACCTCGACTCTTAGGGTAAAAGACCATTTTACCCTTCCCTTCAGTGGGTGAATTAATCATGGCCCAACTAAATGGCACTCAAAGCCCAATAATGGCCCAAATCTAAAAGATACTCAAGCCCCAATATATGCCTAAATCTATAAAGGCTCAAGGTCGAGCAATGGCCCAACTCGAAAAGACTTGTGGTCCAACAAGAGCCCACAACCCTAGAGTCCTAAAGTGGTCTAAAATCAAAAGGTCCACAGCACAACGTATGCCCTACATACCCGGCCAGTACGCCCCACGTACGTTTGTTGACCCAAAAACGGGCTGTTGACCCAGTACGCACACCGTACTTAGGAGTACGCCCCACGTACTGGCCAGTGAGCCATTCTTAAACTTTTTGACTTAATCTATTAAGCCCTTAATGTCCAACCAACATATCTACTTCGTTTTAAGGTCTTAACACATAAAGTTGGCAACTTTACTCCTTTGCATGTTGTTAAGGTGCAAACCCAATCCCACATTAGTAAAATAAGAAACTAGATGCTAGCATATAAGGCAATGAGTAATCCCTTTTATCACCAATTGTTTTAGAAAATGGAAGCTCATTGTTCTTCTATGTTGGCATGGTTAGGCTAGTAGCAATCCTAACAAGTGGTATCAGAGCTGCGGATTGTATTCCTATAAATGAAGATGTCTATCAAAAGTTTGATTTTGGAGAAATTCAATGGTTCAAATGACTTCACATTGTGGAAGGTGAAGATGAAGGATCTTCTGGTTCAACAAGGGTGTGCAGCAACACTGGAAGGAGAGGCAAAACTGCCAAAGGACATGCCAGACGAGAAGAAGGTGGACATTCTGATGAAGGAACATAGTGTCGTTTTATTGAGCTTAACATATGAAGTATTGTGGGAGGTCGTGGATTAAACAATTGCTTCTAGGCTCTGGGATAAACTTTATGACAAGTACCATAACAACTCACTAACGAAAAGGTTGTATCAAAAACAAAGGTTGTGCACTCTCAGAATGTCTGAAAGTACCCAAGAGAAAGATCATATGGATAACTTCACTCACATCATCTTAGACCTATAAGGGGTTGATGTGAAGATTAAAGATGAAGGATCAGGTGCTCATTCTCTTATGTTGTCTTCTGAACTCATATGAGGATTTCGTTGATACCGTGCTCTATGTTAGGAAAACGATCACTATGAATGATGTAAATGACTCTTTGATGTACAAGGAACTGAAAAGAAAAGTTTCAATTGGAGGGGAGGTGTCCATTTTCGTTTTGTTTGCAGGGAAAGGAAGGACAGAATAGTGGAAATGGGGAAATAAAGGGAGATGACATTCAAAATCGAAGTCTAAAGGTTCATGCAACACAAAATGTTATAACTATAAGGAGAATGGACACTTCAAGCGAAATTGTCTATAGTCGA